CTCTCTCTCTCTCTCTCTCTCACTCACTCTCACTCTCACTCTCACTCTCACTCTCACTCTCACACACACACATGCACACACACACACATGCACGTACATACAGCCCCCCCCCTCCCACTCACACACTCACACACTTGCAAATATATATATATGGTAAAAAGGATATCCATGACAGTAACGAAACCCATTTGGAAACAAATTAACAAGGTAGAATTTATAATGAAGCTACACAAGGCCAATGGCCATTCATGTTGATGCGGCAGAAGATAAATGTTAAGCATAAACGATGCATTCCTCATGGCAGTTACCCCAAGTGGCGATTCAAAATATGCCCGTTAGTGGGCTTGCAGCTACTTTGAGCCTGTCTCAAAATTGTTAAGGCTCTATAATATGTATGTTAAGGTTCTGAATATATATCATATCCTTAGTCTGAACCAGTTTATTTATCTTTTAATATCACTATAACAACACATAGAATGTGGTACATATTCTGACAGGACAAAGTGCCTTTTTGGAATAATTGGCGTTTTTTTTTTTTTTTATGAAATTGGCAGATCAGGTTACCAGTGATCTTGCCTTAATTATGGTCTTGCCTTTATTCTATTTAGTTTGGATTGATATAACGTTTTCCTTTATTATGCTGGAGGAAGACAATAGGGAACCTCCATATCATCCCTTGTGTAAGCATGGCTTGTTAAAGAGACAGTTGCCAATGTCAGACTGATATGGCACTTCAAGAACAAGATTTGAAGAACTGTTATCCATTATTTCTGATATCAAATTCATTTACTGATCATATTCATTGTGTATCCTTTGTGGATTTGACAAGATTAATTTTAGGGATGAGGAAAATTTGTAGTTTTTTAGGAGGAGGTGAGTGGTTGTAGTATTTGCAGTGATAGTGTTTACCATTAATTATGATTAGTTATGCCATTTGGGTAGATTTGAAAGTCAAGTTTTTTTTGTGTGTGTGTAGTGTGCCTTTTTCTTTTAATTTTACAAAATTAAAGCTGTTGGTGGTAACTGCTAAAACAAATATCTTTGTACCAGTTCTGAAACTGTTTAGCGCACACAGCTTAGAGAAGGCTTAGCTGTGTATAATTTGAATGGATTCATCCTGGTGTGAGTGATGTTGCATCCATGCCATAATAGGATGTCATCTGTCATGAGTGGGTTAAGATAGGAGAAGAAAATATACATGTTTAATAGGTAGGATTTTGGTGTTGTATGTCCATAGCAATACCATGTTAAAATTCCTTTTATGGTGTTACAAGAATTCTTTATTTTCATTTTCTTGTATCAGCAATTTACCTTCCCACAAGTACCATTTACTTGTAAGCATTTGCCTAAATTGCCATAGGTGAATACAGCAGAGAAAAACCTTGCAATATCAAGGCAAAATGATTAGCGTTACACATGAATTGTCCTTGGTCCGGCAAATAGAGCTGTATCAAATGACGTTTGTAAGGTGCTACCTAGAATTTTTTTAGTAGAATTACAGTTAGTTTCCATTTTTCATAAAGTAGTGAATTGATGTGAACTCATGTAATTATTAGTTCATTTTTGCATTAATTTCATCAATACTTCAACATTTCTATCTCAGTTTCTGTGAAAATATAAAAGTGATTATCTAAGAAGTACCACCACAGTTGGAGTAAATGGAACTAAAACCATGATTTTAAGAAATAAAAGTACATTATTATTGTCCTTAAACTTTGAACATCTTGTGGTTCAGCGGGACTTATTATACCCATCTTGTTAGTGAGTACACTGTGCAGAGACAGTTTGAGACTTGCAAGATTGAATTTTTGTGTTTATAAGACATTATACAATACTGTACTAAAAGTATCTAATGTGTGATTTTATATGTAGCAGTCTTAAGATCTTAACTGCATAAGGAGACGACTATAGAAACTTTACCCATTGAAGGACTTTCCTTTATTGCTATTTTTTTTTTTTTCCTTTCTTTCTCTTTTCTTTCTTTCTTTCTTTCTTTAGCATGACTTGCAGTGAAATGCCTTAATTAATGATTAGCTGTGACACATGTACAGGCATTGCTAGAGAAGTACTGTGATTGTAGATTTGTAATTTGTTCGAGAATCGGTTGCTGTTCAGTCACGTAAACACTTGTAGATAATTTTCATCATATGCCTCTTGTGGCTTTAGCTTTTAAAGACTTTAGTAAGTTTAGTTGATACTAAATGCACAGCCTTTTCTGTACTATGCAAGGGAGTAAGGAAAATAGATGGAGAGGGTGAGAGAGTGAGTGAGTCTGCTCAATTTTTTTTTTTTCTTTCTTTCTTTCTTTCTTTTTTTTTTTTACGGTTATCATTATCCTCTTGATTGTGTGTCCACATAGAAAGTCTCAAAAGACTGTGTTCCCTGAGAGTAGCATGCATTCCACTCTTGAGGCAAAACTTGCACCAGTCACAACTGTAGATGACAGTCATGCTACATAAGCCTAAGTGATTCTTGAGTTCATGAACTTTCGCTGCCGCAAGTTCATCCCAACAAGTGTGTTTGTTGGACATGAAGAGAATGAAGAAGAGGGTGCGGCAAACTCTCACAAACTTCATGGCCAAGAACACAAGAAGGTTGGTCTTTTTTGAACTGCTTCCTTATTTATAAGCTCATATTTCTAAAGAGTTGCACATTTATCAGCTGTTTTTCCATGCATATATTTTGCTCCTTATTTCCCCCTATGTTTCTTTGGTTCTCTTTCAGTCTCTTTTTTTCTTGGGAGTACAGAAAAATTACAATTCATATGACCAAATAAAAACAGCTTATTGTCAGAAGTTGCTGTCATGAAAAAAGTTTCATCATGCAGTGATTCTGGTATGCAAGCAAAGTGATAGAAAATCTACATTTTTTAATGAATTACAAGCCCCAGTAACGCAGTTGAACTGTTGCACTGTATAGAAAAAAAAAATCTTATCATACTTACATTTTGGGGACTAAATCCTTTTTTTTTTTCTCTCAAACAAGATGATTGATTGTTAAAACAATACACAAGCATAAAATTACCACTGAAGGAAAAAGTGCTTAAACCTGTGGGACTGGAAAATGTCTCTTGAAAATTTTGTTTCTTGATACCCAGACCGTCTGCAGAATTGTATTTTCAAAATAAAAAATGTTTAGGTCATTGGCAATGTTCTGTGTTTGTATATTAAAATAAATATATATATATTTTTTTTTCCTTGAAAGGAAAAGATGATCACTGACATTTGGTGAGAATGTTTCAGCTGGTATATCTAATAAAGTTATTTTGATGATATTAAAGTATATATAGTTCAATATATGAAATGAAACAATGATCAAAGCTAGCTTTTTATTTGCTGCATCCAAAATTATAGATGAATATGTTTACACATTTTTATATGTTATAGTACATTGCTGCCTATCACAAACTTATTGTTCTTTATTCTCTTTATTTATTTACTTTTCTGTTTATTATCTTTCTTTTTCAGAATGCACTTATTATGATGTTGAGATTTGCGAGTATTTGAACGTGATTGAGAAGTGTTCATAGGCTTTTAGTAGCATCGCTTTTTCTTTCTTTCTTTTTCAAGATTTAATTAGCTCTTGTACATTTGTATTTTACTTATGTACTTCTTTATTTGCCTAGTTATTTGCTAGATAGTGTTGTCACCTTTTTTATTAATTTGTTTATTATATACCCTGTCTTTTATTCCATTACAGTTATGATGCTTGTAACTGTTGTTGGGATGTATGCTTTTTTCATAATTATTTTTCTTTTTCTTTTTTTCTTTAACTTATGTTAAGAAGTTCATACAGCTTTTCTAAAATCACAGAACTTTTAGAATTTTTAGTCAGTATACCTCAGAGTTATATCTTCTGTTAAATCTCGTATTACCTCTAGTGTGATGCTGGATTATCTCAAGTGAGATGAGTAGCAGTTACCCCCAAATAGCAAGGTGCTCGGCTTGTCACATGTATTTAGTATGCGCAAGATATCTAATTGGCATTCAATATCACTTCATTGTGAGAATTATTTTTTTCTCATTATGTATTCAGGCATTGTGAATATCCTGAAGTAGAATTTCATGTCAAGACAAAGAACAAGGAAATGTTTCATTTGGCAGAATTATCATGAATTTTGACTCATACTCACTTATCTTTTCTTCTTCTTTTTCTTCTTTTTATTACACATTTGTATTCAGAGTTATGAGCAAAGAATGGCTTTTTTTTTCCTATAGAATATTTTGGTATCTACGCCATGATAAAGATTGGCGATGAATTGAGTCTCATAGATTTTCTCTTGGAAGAGTTAGGTCAGAAGTCTGCAAGTGCACCAAATTTCCTAAATTTTCATTATCCAGAGCTTATGTACACTACATTACATGTGATGGATTTTGTACACTGTTTATATAGGCCAGATTAACCTCTTTATTCCTTTTTAAGGTTCATGCCAGTGACCTAAGGTCAACAATTTGGACAACTGGATGTATGTTATTTTCTGATTGGCTGAGGGAAAGTGACAATGTATTTTTTATATGTTTCCATTCCCTTCTTTGTATAATATAGGTCAAGAGATATTTATGTTGCACTAGTACTAAAGGGAGGAATTGCTCATTATACATGGTGTTCACATGAAATTTGTTAAAGGAATGGAGAGGACAAATGTATGCTTTGCATGCCTAGATCTTGATGATACTCTTCATAGAAGATTCAGAATGTCAACTTCATTCCTTCTATATTTTTAGGATTATGTATATTTTCATATATAAGTAGTGGAACGGAATATCTTGATGTAGGAATCTTTCATCCACTCTTTGGAAGTTTTTGTGAAAGGATTTACTTATTGGAATTTTATAGAAGTTATTGGTCAATTGGATATTTGAGAGTTGGAAAGAGAGAAAATACTGCTTGATCTCCTTTTATCCCCTGCCTATTAATTGATAGGCTGTGGGTGCATAGTCCATAATTTCTATCTGTACCTTACTTTAAGAATTTCATTTCTCTCCCTTGTTTCCTGTTAGCGTCGGGATGGCTGGTGAGCGTGTGACCATCACTGATGCCCTCAGCAATGTTGACGTCCTTGATGACTTGCCGCTGCCAGACCAGCAGCCAGTCATCGAGGCACAGGCATGCTCGGTGGTCTACACGGCCAACTTCGACACCAACTTTGAAGACCGCATGGCCTATGTGACAGGGGTGGCGAAGTACATGGAGGAAGCAGCTACCCATGCAGAATTGGTGTGTTGAGTCATAATTATTCTGTAGATTTAATCAATATTGATTGTTAAACTTTTAAGGACAGTAAAATATTCTAAACTAAGTGAAGTTACACACAAAGTTTTTTGATAAGCCATTTAAGAATTTTTGAGATTCATGTATGTTTATGTGACATAAATTATGTTAAGATTTGAATTTTTTAAGGTTGTTGTTTTGAAATGGAGATGGATTATCAAATTTCCTGTCTTTTCTTATGCATTAAAAAGAATTAAAAGTCACCAGTGTATCAAATAGAGTTTTCTTGTTTCAGAATAAATTATTAGAAGAGGGTGAAAATCATGCGGTTATGCTATACACTTGGCGGTGCTGTTCTCGTGCCATCCCCCAACCAAAGTCAAATGAGCAGCCAAATCGTGTGGAAATTTACGAGAAAACGGTGAAGGTTCTGTCAGATGAAGTAAAGAAGTTGACAAAGTTCATGAATTTCCAGGTAATCTCAATGTAAATGTGCCTATAGGTGTGAATGTTTTGCTGTTGGTATTTGTGGATTATTTTGTGTGTGTGTCTGCATCTGTGTCTGTGTGTGTTTTTGCAGTTAAAGAAAGAAAGAAAAGAAAAAAGTCATTCCATTCCACTGTCAATAAGAGATTAAGCACAAATGATAATCAACCTTTTGCTATCAACAGAGGAAAGCCATTGATGTATTCTGCAACCAAATCAAGCGACTCTGTCACCAAGAGAAGCGAAAGGACTTTGTGTCTGAAGCCTATCTCCTCACGCTTGGCAAATTCATCAACATGTTTGCTGTCCTCGACGAATTGAAGAACATGAAGTCGAGTGTGAAGAATGACTACTCAACGTACAGAAGGTGAGACAGTATAATGTTGTGGATATTCTGCTTGATGGAATTTATGGTACAGAAGAGAGTCTGAGATCCCTTTCTATTTGTTTATATATGTATATATAATATAAATATATTTGTTTATTTTTTTAACATTACTAATTATCATTATATATATATATATATATATATATATATATATATATATATATATATATATATATATATGTTTATATGTAGGGGATTGACAGAGTATTTGTGGTTATAATCAAATGCATTGGATGTCGACATTGATCTGGTACTTTGATTAGAGTAGTGGAGTACTAATGATTAGATTATTAGGAATGTGCAGAACTTTTGCTAAAGATTATAACAGACAATCTGGAAATTTTGAGAATATGTTACTTTCAGTAGAAATGCCAATATACTTTTTCATTTTTTGTACACTGTTTATATGTATTAGATAGATTTGTAAGTGAATCGCGTTAAGATGAACTTACTATACTTTAAAACAGATCCTTTTAATGTGGGTTGAACCATAGACATTATCAAGGTTATAACAAAATGATTTTACAGAGCCGCGCAGTTCCTCAAGGTGATGAGTGATACCCAGTCTCTACAGGAGTCACAGAATCTGTCTATGTTCCTGGCCACACAGAACAAGATCAGGGATACCCTCAAAGAGAAGCTAACAGCAATTCCATCATATGAGGACCTCCTTTGTAAGTGTTGCTGTAGATTCAGTCCTTTAATCTTCTGTACTGGTTGAATATGTCAGCCGTTCCGATTGCTATTTTTGATGTGTTCTTGTAAGGCAGGGATCAGTGTGAGAGTAAGAGAGTGAGTGTGAGAGTAAGGGAGTGAGTGTGAGAGTAAAAGAGCGAGTGTGAGAGTAAGAGAGTGAGTGTGAGAGTAAGTGAGTGTGAGAGTAAGAGAGCGAGTGTGAGAGTAAGAGAGCGAGTGTGAGAGTAAGAGAAGTGTGAGTAAGAGAGCGAGTGTGAGAGAGAGAGAGAGAGAGAGAAAGAGAGAAGTAGCAGCTCAATTATATACACATTTTGGATGTGATTCCGACAGCGCTGTGCGTAGTCTGTGGTGTAGGACATTTTCACCACACCTTTTGTGCCTAGCAGTGGCATACCTACTAGCCACTCAGCAATCTGTGACATCCCTCCCCCTAAGTCCTGATGTTCCGGGTTTAAGAAAAAGAAGATGAAGCCCTTAGTTTCTCATATCATAATTTTTCTAAATATTTTTTCATTTTCCCTACAGGCGATGTCGTCAACATCTCAGTGCACATGTTTGAGAACCGCATGTACTTGACGCCCAAAGAAAAGCAGATGCTGGTCAAGGTGATGGGATTTGGTCTCTTCCTCATCGACTCAGACATTTGTAACATCAATAAACTCGACCAGAAGAAGAAGATTAAGTTGGACAAGATTGATAAAATCTTTAAGGTAATTTTGAAGAGGTGGCAGTTGTTATTGTTATTTTGTCGAGAAGTTCTTTATTGATAAATGCTATAACTGCTGATATCTTCCATGAGGACCTAAGTGTGATTGGTGGCATTGTAAGTAATTGCTTTCAGAATAGTTCACAATCAGCAAGAATTTCAAGCACCCTAATCAACATTTACTTTGCAGAACCTAGAGGTTGTTCCACTGTTTGGTGACATGCAGATTGCACCTTTCAATTATATAAAGAGGAGCAAGAACTTTGATGCCAAAATGTGGCCTCTATGCAGTGCATCAACCACAAGCCCACAGGCAGACCTGATGTGTCATTTACCACGCATTAGGGATGAACACATCAAATATATCTCGGAGTTAGCAAGATACAGCAATGAGGTATGTGGTTGTGGGAAAAAGGGATTAGCAAGTAGATTATTGTGAAGATGACTTTAACTGTCATGAATTCAGTTGGTGGGATAAAGTAAAGGGTATAAGATTTGAGTTATGATTTTGATAAGGGATAAGTTTTTCAGAATAGGAAAAAAATAATTAAATACATTTCAAGTGTTACCAAAATACAGGGAAGAGGGGTGCAGTGGGGAAAAGTTAATAAGTGAAAGATTATGTAAGAGGTGTAAGAAATGAAATTACTATATTTATAATGGTTACATAAAAAATTAATGATCAGTTAAATTTCTTTCTTTCCCTTTGTAATAGATAACCTTTTAAGATTCCTTTTGATTGATTTAAAATTTTACTCTCCATCTCTACAAAGGTCATCACAACATATAAGGAAACAGCACGCACAGATGCAGAGAATAAAGACATAGCAGACCTCGCCCTCCGCGGCCTCCAGCTCCTCAGTGAATGGACAAGCGTTGTCACAGAGCTTTATTCATGGAAACTACTGCATCCTACTGACCATCACTCCAATAACCAGTGCCCAGCTGATGCAGAAGAATATGAAAGGGTTTGTTTAGATTTTTTTGTTTTTTTTGGGGGGGTGTCTTGTGGTTTCCAATTTCTTCATCTTCATCCAGGTTTCTTCTTTACGTATCTTACATTACATATCATATTTATTTATTGACTCGTTAATTCTGGAATGACTTGTAACTTTCAATCCTGTTTCCAGGCCACACGATACAACTACACTGATGAAGAAAAGTTTGCCCTTATCGAAGTCATTGCGATGATTAAAGGCCTGCAAGTCTTAATGGCCCGCATGGAGACTGTATTCCTTGACTCAATACGGCGCAACATCTACCAAGAGATGCAAGATTTCGTGCAGCTCACCCTAAGGGACCCCCTGCGTAAGGCCATCAAGAACAAGAAGGAACTCTTGAGGACGTAAGTTGTACCTGTGTTAGGGAAGTTTGATGCAAGCAGAGAAAGATTTTTTTGCTGTATTTGATGGTCATGGTGATGGCATCGTTCTTAAAGATTACAGTGTTATTGAAGATTACTCCAACAATTCCTCAGATATTAGCCACTCAAGTACAGACTAGATAGAATTTTCCCAGTTGTTTCTGAATGTAGATACAGATCTGTTTATTTGATATTTTGTGGGTGTTTTCAGAAATGCATTTCTTGTTCAGTCAGTTCAGTTCTCTGGGATTTAGATGTCATTTGCAGTTGCCTTGGCTGCAGAAAGTTCAATGAAGTAGTTATCTCCAATTATAGAAAAATAAATGATTGCCATAACCTTAAAACTATACAGAAAATAAGCATATTCCTTCCTTCAAAATCTTCAGGATGATATTCATGGTAATGCAGATAATGATAAGTATAATGATTATATTGATTGTAGCAATAGTCATAAAGATGATAGTGATAATAATGATTGTAATAATAATATTTATATTTTTTATAATGATTATATAAATGACCTCCACATTTTAACAACTCTGACTGAATGAATAGGATCTTGGTGTCGGTGCGTGAGACAAGTGCTGACTGGGTGAAGGGAATGGAACCCCCAGATGACCCCGCCCTCAAGGGCAAGAAGGACCCGGACAACGGCTTTGAGATCAAGGTGCTAAGAAGGAATGTTGGTGAGTTCTTTTACAATGATACTTTTGGGTTTCCCTTTTAATGGGTAAGATTTTATGAGAAAGCAGGTTGCGTAAGAGGGTATAAAACTGTGTTTGAGTGTGTATTGTTTTTATTTTACAATTTCCAGGTAGCTGATTATTGATGGTTGAACATTATTAATTTATTCAATGAATTTCCTCGCAGGCCCTTCCTCAACACAGTTATACATGGTGCGCACCATGCTGGAATCTCTGATTTCGGATAAATCAGGAGGCAAGAAAACCCTGCGCAAGGAACTGGACGGCCAGCACCTCTGCCAGATTGATGAATTCCACAAGACCTCCTTTTTCTGGACATACTTGTTGAACTTTAGCGGTAATATTTTAGAGTTTGTCTAATGTTGTCAAATTGAGGAAAAAGCATGTCCCTCATACTTTTTAAGTTTATTACTCTCTCTCTCTCTCTCTCTCTGTTTTCCTTTCTT